TACCGCTTGAAGATATGAAAAATGCATTTAAATATTGGGAAGACTTTTATATTTCACAAAATATGACTGTAATATTAACCATTTATAATATATTGTTAAAACTCTATTTTAATAGATATGTTTACTGATTAATAGCAATTCAAGATCTCTTTTGGAGACATTAATTAATCAATTTATAATAAATATAGGCTGAGTTACCACCTATAAATTGATAAAATATACATATTTAATTTAGCATCTTTACTGACGAATGGATAATATTTTATAAACATCTTTTGGCTTAATAAGGATCGCTCATATTATTAAAGTTTTTTCAAATTGACGCAATATAAAAATTCAAAAAAAAATGAAATTTTAAATTTATAAAAGGAGATAACGTAACTTGCAATATTTTAAAAATGAAGTTATTTTTAATATCCTATTGTATTTTAAAGTATATAATTCATCTTCTAAAAATAATTAATAGGTTTCATTTAGTATATATATATTTATGTTATGTATATTTCACACAATTTATTTAATTAAATAAAATTAGATGATAATACATAAAAATTCCAATATATCTTCTCTTTGCACTATAGTTTTGATCGGCATCAATAATAGTTCAGAATTTCAAATTCAAGTGCAATATGTAATGAGGGAATGCATTATTAATTATTTTTTATACAATATTCACTATTATTAGAAATCAAATTCCATTTTTCTGATATTAAGAGATTCACAGTTTTCTATTATTTTTCCTTCTTCATTATACTATTTATATCAAATAAACAATTATTTAAGGCAATCATTGAACAAAACAATGCATCTTTGACACTGAAAATTTATTACAATAACACTATCTATAATATTATACAGAATGACTATATAATTTATAGCATAATGTGTGAGGTGGGAAGTATATTATTAGAGAACGAAGAACAAATCATTAATGTAACTACTTCTTCTACTTTAAATGTTACGAAACATTTCTATTTATCATATTTATAATATTAATTAATTAAAAATTTTATTAACTATATTATAAATAATTTTAATGGTTATTATAAGGGTATCATTTTTTTTTAAATTGATTTTTACATGTTATATTCATTTTAATTGCAGGAAAGGTTTATTATTAAATCAATTAAATGTTTCTGATATTTCAGTTACCCAACAAGTTTTTTATAAGCATTATAATATATTTATGATAGGGAAAGTTTGGGTGCATGTATCTCTTACTTAAAACTGGATTTACATAATAAAATAGAAATTAGAAAGTCATGTTTAATAATTTTTTCAGGTGATAACTATTGACTCTTATAAGCAAAATAAAGATCATTTTAGAGTTTTGTTGAGATAAACCAGAGCTTGTAATCTAAAACTCTTTGTCTTAAGGAATAGTCATTGTAATCATAGCAAAAGGGATTTTGTCTTTAACATAAAGTTTTAACGATAATAAAATTTTGATATCTCCTTATACATTCAATTTTTCTAAATTGACTTCATTATAATTACGTCGATTTGTAATTGACAGATATGGAAGTTTTTAAATATATTTTCAAAAAGACGTGATATTACAATAAATGAATAAAATTAAGGACAATAAATTTGGTTTGGAGTTGCATTATAAACATTATACAATATATAGGAAACCTTTTTGTGGCGTAGCGCCCACCAGATTAGTTTTCTTGGGATTCTATAGAAGGCCTTTTCTAGATCGAGAAAGACCATGTGTATATTTTTGTTTATTTACCTGTATTTTTCACTCATTTGCCTAAGCATCAGTGTTGATCTTCCAGGTTTAAAACCAAATTGAGTTTCTCCTATTTCGATTATGTCTCTTAATTTTTTTTCTATTATTTTTTCGTATAGTTTAAGACAATGTGACATTAGTTTTATTCCCATGTAATTTTGATTTTGTGAATCCCCTTTATTTTTAAAGATAGGAATTAGATATGCCTCGATTTTTGAGAAATCTTTTCATTTCCCAGTATTTTATTGTACAGTTTGTGAGGAGATGTATTCCATCATCTCTTAGTGCTTTAACTCTTTCTATTGGAATATCATCTAGACCCCTAGCTTTGTTGTTTTTCTATGCTTGAGGCATGTGATTATTTCTTGTTCTGTTATTGGTTGTATAAGGTTTTGACATGGGGACAGTTCATCTAGATGTAGTATGTGGGATTAAAGTTGAGAAGCTCCTGAAAATATTCTTTCCATCTATTCATTATTTTATTTTCCTTTATTATCAATTTCGCATCTTTATTTTTTATTACTTTCGGAGCTCGTTTATATCCCTAGAATTCTTTTCTCAATGTTTGGCTAATATCTAAATTTTATTTTGCCTTCTTTGGTTAATTCTTCCTACATGTCATCGTATTCCATAGAGTTTATCCTAGCCACCGCCTTTGTAGCTATTCTCTTGGATTTTTTGTATTTTGTCCTGTCATATGAGTTTTTGGATTTGTACCATATTACATATAGCGCTTCTCCTGTATAGTGGCTTATAAATCTTCATTCCACCACCATAGTTCTTTGTGTGATTTGTTGCCTACTCTTGTCAAGTGTCGATTTGGCAGTGTTTAATAATCTGGATGAAAGATCTGTCCACATTTTTTCACTGACTTGTTCTAATTTTCCAATGTTAGCATTGATTGCAAAGGCATTTGTCATTGATTTTAATTTACCCCATTTGATGATTGGTTCAAATTTTATGTTTTGAGTAGATTTATTTGTGAGGTGTAAATCCATGACTAGTACTTGTGTTGCGCGAGAATATCTTCTCCTGGGATGATTTTGCAGTCTATTACATTTTTTTATCTTCTGAGAGAGATTAGCATGTAATCTATCTGGGTTTTTTTGTACCACTTTCAAATGTTATTAAATGACTGTCCTTGTTTTGGTTAAGGCAAGGTCAAAGGCTTGCTCAAATAGTACATTCCTTCATTATTTCTTTCTCTGTATCCAAAACCACCATGTTGCCTTTTGTAGCTGTCTCTTGCTTTTCCCACAAGCGCATTTAAGTCTCCACCTATTAAGACTAGGTCATCCTTAGGGAATTATTCTTAAAAATAATCTCATAAAATTCTTAGCTTTTTTTTTACTGCATTTTATCTTAATTTTAGAAATTTATAAGCATTTAGGGTTATGGTTACAATATATATATATGTTAGTGCTAGAGTATATATTATTTCCTTTTCCTTAATTACTCCGAATTAAAACTCTTTCAATTATTATTTTTTATATCAATCAACAAATTTCCATTTATTCATGATGACTCAATAAAGAAGCACTTTTAAAATACCATATTACTAATGTTATTCTTTCAAATCTTCTTCTTAAAAGATTTTTTTAAATATTACTTTTCCAATCTTATAAGACAAGATTATCCACGTAAAATAAGGAGTTCATATTAAAATTTTTCATTGATATTTATTTGTTATATTTATAAATTAAATATTATTTTATAATATGCTCTTAATAAAAATGAAGGTTTGTTTATGTAAGTTTTTTATTTCAATGATAAAATTAAAAAAATATTCTTTCCTATACATAATTCGAATGTAGGTTTGAATACAAAAATGTTCAAACCGGTTTTTAGAAGTTCGAATCGAACCGATATTTTTATTTTAACTTGAAATTTGAACCGTTATTTATCCGAACCTGAACTGATATTCGTTTTTGTTTAGATCCCTGAAAACCGTGACTAATATAGTTTAATAGAGGGAATAGTGCTTACATTTATGATTTTCCAAGATTTTATTCAAGGCTCAATATTATTTAAAATACCACAATAATAATAATTTTAATGGCAACTATTAGAGATAATCTTTGGAATCCAGAGAGAATCGATAAAATTTAAAGCAATAACGACATCCTCAACGCGAGTCAGCATCACAAAAACAGATTGCTACATGATTATACCAATCAAATTTCGAACTGTAGATGGCGTTAACTTTTGCTTTTTTTATCATTTCTTTTTTTATTGCGTAACCCAAAATTAAATTTCCTTTTTTTATTAATTCTTTTATATTGAGCAACCTAAAATAAACTTTTATTGTTAATTATTTTATATTAAAATAACTTTAATTGAATAATCGACTTTTTTAATTTTTATTACATTTGATATAATACATTCATTTTAAAGATTGCGCCAAATACTTATTTACTTTCGCTTTATTTGCCAATTTCTCACTGATGATAATGTTATTTTTTTAAAAAATGATTGTTTTTTGATTGGTAGATGTGACTCAGATATTTTGGGATATTGACTGAGACACAGAAATTCCTGGTTCAATTCAAGACGGAACTATATTATTTCTGCTTGGAAGAGGTTATGATAAAGCTAAAAGAATAGGACTGTGCCAATATATTATAGGATCGGCGCTGATATTTAGAATTTTCTTTGAAAATATTGCCTACCGATAATTTTCAAAAAAAACTGATCAAATATTTCATTATTTTTGGTTTATCATCATTTGTGCATATATGACTGAACAATATTATTTCATCTTTTATACATAATCTTATAATATATTTGAAAAAATAGAGTAGCTCAAAATTTATATTATTTTTTGTTACCTAACTCAAGGTTTTATCCAAAAGTAATAACCCAAGCTTGGAAATATTTTTTTGCACACAAGGTGGTAGAAAAGGACATCTATTGGCTAAATTTCGAGGGTTAGGTAATAATATTTTGCCTAAACTTGTTAACTCAGTTAATGGGCTAAAACTAACCGTTTAATAAAATAACACTGCATTCTACCATAATTTCGCGTATTTTGAATGCGAACTCTTGGAAAATACGCTTAATAACTCGTGAAATATAATAACTTTTTTTAAATTGATTTAAAGATGGAATTGTATTGGTAAACAAAAATCAATCTCAGATGTGTGAAAAATTTGTGGATCGGCAAATATATTTTAAAAATGAATTAAATTCTTTTTTTTACAAATTGCCATATAGTGATCCCTAGTGGTGTAGATCATTAGCCTAATAATAATTGGTATAGGTTAATTTTATTTACTTTTTTTTGGTATCAATAAGTACAACATATTTTATCAAATTACAAATGTTAAATACAAAAATAAAACTCCTCTAAAAAAACAATATAATGGAACGTGTGATTTGATTACAAGAAATATAATACATATTTAATATAATAAGACCGAAATAGACTTCTATTTTTTTTTAAAAAATATAATTTATTTATGAGTCGCAGTGGCTTCTTTCCTAGTAGCGTCTTGTAATAACGTTGTGTCTACGTCATCGTAAGGTAATTGAACGTACCTGACAACGGATCCGCGGATAAAGCAATTTTTGACGGATAACTTTTTTTTTGAAAAAAAAGACTTTGGTGAAAAGATGATAAGTCGATATTTTTAAACTGACTAAGTCAATCGGATAGGTAAAATTATAGTCGGGGTCATATTAAAGGCCGAAAATGGCATGAACGAAAGATCCAGACAAAATGCCAGAATAGAATTCAAAAAACGAAGAAAAAAAAAGGTTTTTTCATTGTGTAAAAAAATTTGATAGAAAAAAATGCTTAAATGAATTAAATAAAATTTTGGAAAGCTTAATATTTTCATTTATAAAAGATGAAAGTTAATTAACAAAATAAGTGAATTATAAAATGATTCTGTTAATGAAAAAATTGCATTAAAATATTATCTACAAAAATTGTAAGTCAATCAATGACATATAATAATACCTAGACTGAAGATGCATTCATAATAATGCATTTGAAAGCTTCATTGAATGCAAATCAGCTGAACCTGCCTTTTTGGTAATCCATATGGTAATTATTCTCATGTTAAAAACTACTATTAATTTGATAACTTGCTTCCTTATTATTAGGTAAATTCTTTAATAAAGTTTACGCTAGGCATAGGAATAAATTGGCCTTTCGTTTTAAAAATTTTAATGATACAAATAACTAAAATGGCTTCCCCAGCTGTTTTTCATTGATGTGTACACTTTTAAAGAATGAATCTTCAGTCTAGGTATTATTATATGTCGTTGGTATGCTCTTAATTTATCTTATTTTGGTGTATTTTACCTAATAAACTTGTAAAATATTGGTTAATATGAAATAAATAAAAAATATTATTTTAATAACAAGATCGGAGATTAAAAAAAGAGATTACAGGCATTTTTTACTGCGGGACTGGCTTAAAAATTAAGGCTCATGAAGATTTTCTGCTGCCTTTATCAACTCCTGTTGGAAGGTTATTCAGTTTTGAAACAATTTTAAATACGATGAAATGGCTATGGCCAAATTATTTAAAAATTGATTATTTATTGATAAAATTAACTAATAATTATTTTTATATTTTAAAAACCTTCTTTATTTAAAATTTATAAATTTTATAAAAAATAGAAGTCTGCTTTGGGCAGCCTACTTTTACAAATAAAATAAAGTTAATAAAAAAATGTTTAATTTTGATGTATACCACTTCATCATTATATCTTATAATTTAAAATATTTTTTACTAATTTAATTAAGTTGTATTCTCCATAAATAGAAATGCTATATTTAACTATTCTAATTTTAGGTAATGATTATTTTAGAAAAAGATATAATGCTTTTTAATATTCAGATAAGTACTTATTCTTGTTACTTATTTAATTTTGAGATTATGATGTAATCTAAAATGCTAATATTCAAATAATTTTACTTTATAAACTGTAACTTTTTATTTTTATGTAATAAAGAAATGCATTTGAAATGCTATTATTCAAATAATTTTACTTTGTAAACTAACTTTTTAATTTAATTTTATTATGAAATAAAGAAAAGCATTATTAGAAATAAGATATTTAAAGATTATTTAAACAGAGACCTGCAAAGGTATCATTTGCATGGCCTGTCCCAGATTTTATATTTTCAGGGCTAACCCAGTTTTTTAAAAAAATTATTATTAATTTTTATAGCTAATAACAGCCCAGCTAAACCTAGTTATTTTTAGAAAAATATTTTAAGCCCAGCAATTTAAGAAAAATTTTAATGCGGCCTGGCTTGCATATTTCTGATTTAAATAAAAAGAACATGATTTCTATTTGATAACAAACTCATTTCTATACAGTCTAAACTTGTATATAACTTATTACTTTAAATATAACCATAAATTCTTAAAATATTTTACCATATGTGGATATTTTTCAGGATCTGTCACACTTACATCAACTAACTTGATATTTAAATATTGATCTACTGAATGTAGAGTACCACATATACTAAAAAAATAATAAAAAACAATACAATCGAATATCAATACTTTAAATCATTTTTTAGTTCAACTATCACATCCTTACCAACTAAGGATTTAAAGAAAGAGTAAAATAACTATAAAAATAATATAAAATGGAAATTTCAAATTAATTTACCATATTTAAATACCTCACGATAAAGAGTATTTTGTAAACTGTCTAATCCATGTCCTACATACTCAATAAATTTTAATTTGGGTAACATGTAGATCGTGCATTATTTCAAACACCCCCCCTCCCCAATTTAAATATTCTATCCTCGATGTCAAGAGCTCAAATCTAAAAAAAACTTATAAGTTAAAAATATTAATGTAGATTAAGTTCTGATAAAGATATAAAAATTTTGATGATAATTTATGAAGATTCTTGTGAAGATAATCTGATTGTTTTTTTTAAAAATAGAGATTATTCTTAATATTTACCCAAATAACATTTTAATTATTAAAAATAATACAACAATTCCGTCCCTTGGGACAGTTTAACGTGTGTTTCGCGCAGCGATAGCTGCGTTAAGCCAGAATCCCAAACGTAAATTTCCTGGGCAAAATATAACTACATACAAAAATATCCTCGGAAAAAGAAATCAAATAAAATATCTCACTTTTATTTTTAAATTGGTCATAAGTGGGAATCAAATTTTTTATTAATCAATTCTACACTCTTATATGCTAAATTTAACCGAATATAGTAAATTTTGCCTCAAATAAATTGATATTTCTCATAATCTAATATAAAAATTAACCCTTAGCCTTATTTACGTTTCATAGCCTTAGGTTAAGCACTAGCGTGGGCTACCAGCTTAATATTATAATTTAATCTTAATTTTTTTAGTTAATATTATCTAATATTACCTTCTTCTTTTTTTTCAGCTAACTTACAGAAATTTCATGTTATTTGGCTAACATTATAGAAAATTACCTTTTTTAGTGGCATAAAAACTTTTGATCTTTAAATTTTTCAATAGACTAAAGTTGACGTTCCCTCCCTTAGTGACGCTACTAATAAACACTCTTATTTTTGTTGCATAGCCCTAAGATAACCGCTAACGCGTTCTATGACATTTGTATTAGGCCACGAAAGAAACTTATTGGATGCTTCGTAATTCCACGAGTTCGGAATGAGGCCTTAGCCCACTAGTCCTCTAAAAACGAAAAGAAACATATTGGCTGCTACATTTAACTTTGCACTGAACGAAACATTTTAAATTATCAAAAACATAAAAATAAATCAATTATAAATAGGAGATCAAATAATTTTTTTCCAAAATATTCCTAATTATTTCTTTCTTCATAAAAAATTACAATTTATCTTATCCAATAGAATATTTTGAGTTTTTTTTGATTAATTATAACTTTGTAGATATTTATATATATTTATTAATATACGGAAGGAAGGCAGAAAGTTATATAGATGTGTAGTATGTAAAAATAATAAGATTCGGGAGAGATATGAAAAATTTGGTATGAATCTTCAAAAAATATTTTTTTAATATATTAGAAGTTATAATTTTATCTTTGGGTAACGTCTACATGACAGGATTACCATTGAATGCAATCCCCCCCCCCCCCCAAAAAAAAAAATTCCCATTGCCTTTGCCGGTGTTTTTTTTCACATTGTCAACTTCAAAAATTAAAATAATAAAGTAAATTAATTATATTCTACCATCTACTATCAAAATATTGTGAATGTAAAAGTGTATTTTTTTAGAACATGAATTCAATTTTAAAAAACCTCCTCATCTATAATGAATGCATTATTTTAGTATATTGCAAAATATTTGCTCGTTTTAAAACATCTTCGTTAATATCTATCATTTCATTTTGGCATGGCATGCGACTATTATCTCCCATATTGTTTTGCATGAATATATAGATTTTGTCGATGTTTAGCAATGTTATTGTATAATATAATAGTTTATTTAAAGGTACATTTTTACATCAATACACAGAGTTTCGAACTGAACAACCGTTATATTTGCCTCAACCGTAACCGACGTTATAAAGATATCAACAAAACCGGGTTAACCCGATTCATAGCAGTTCTTTAAAATAATTAATTTGAATTTATGAAACTAAATTTGAAAATTTAATTTTCCCTTGACAATGTAAATTCGTGATTTCCTTTCAATTTAAAATTTTTCTATACTATTGAATCGCCTTTATCTTCCTATCAATCAATATTAAATTTATGGTTTTTACTTTATATTCTCATTTTAGTAGAGATTAGGCAAATTACTAATTATAAATAGAAAAAAATTAATCTTAAAAGAGCTATCACACAACTATTTTTAATTAAGTTAACAAGTTTATTCATATATATATATATAAATATATATATGTATGTATATTATTTATAAATTAGATTTTATAATAATACTCGCTTTAGCTTTACATTTTAGATATCAAATTATATGATTAATTGAAAAACCCAAATGTAACAAAACCTTAAAATTTAAAACTAAAACCCGAATATATTATTCCCTATTTCATCTAATAAATAGATATCCACCCCCCCCCCTTCCAATAAATTATCAGAGACCTGCAGAGATGCCATTTGTATGGCCCGGCCCGGGTTTTTTTCAAAAATTTTTTCGAGCCCGGCCCGGGTTTTTTTTTAAAAAAAATTTTCAGGTCCGGCTAGGGTTTTTTTAAAATATATTTATTTATTTTGAAATTTTACAGCTAATAATGTCGATTTCAAATATTTGGTTTTAAAATATACGGCCCGGCCTAGATATTTTTTTTAAAAAATTTCTTGGCCCGGTCCGGGTAACTTTAAAAAATTAAATTCGGCCCAGCCCGGGTACCCGGGCTTAAGGCCGGGCCTGCAGGTTTCTGAAATTTATCCTGCTTCTAGCCTTACCCACTAAATGCCTACTCCCTCAAAAAATAAATCCAAACTGTTCCTAACCCTGAGCGGTTTAATAACACTACTCAGGGGTTAAGCAAGATGAATTCGGTATGAAACAGTTGAAAATTGGGAATCTCGCTTTATATCTCCTAGAAAATTATTTAAAGTAAATTTTGAAATTGATATCAATAAGATGATAAAGAACTGAATACATTTATTTTAAATTAAATTTTTTTTAAACAAAAATCTGTAATAAATTGACAAAATGTCATCTTTGTCCTCCTCAATTTGATTCCCAAATTGGGAATATGGAGAATATTTCGTACATTTTTGTGTTATAATTTCCTTGTCATGAAAGATTAATTTAATAAAAGTTTTATAATTTTAAGTTAAAATAAAATAAAATAATAGATAACGGGAATTACTTTTTTTTACAATGGAAACACTTACTAAAAATAATTATATATTATTGTATATTTATTAAATTAAGTATATCAAACTATTAAAAAAATATCTATTAATAAATTTAGCCTTTTTATTATAAACTTATTTTCCCAATAAAGTACTTAAATCATAGAGAAAACTTTTTCATCAACTAGGAAAAATAAAAAATTTTATTATAATGAATATCTTTACCATTTTTAAAGATTAAATCTTATCTCTCGCTCTCTTCCAAATCATAAAAAAAAATATAATCAATAAATTTTGCCATTCATTAAATTTTATCGATAATTGGAAAAATCAAATGGATCCAGTAAATTGGTTTTAAAAAAAATTAATTTGATTGTCAACTAGCTATATCCGGAAAAAAAGTGAATTTAGTTAATTGAAACAATTTAATGGTATTTCGCAAAAAATTATATGTAATATACATTCTGCCTTTTCGAAATCATTAAAAATTAGATAAATTTTCGGGTGGAAATGTCGTTACCAAACTTTCGGCACTATGCATATCGATGGCTGTGCAATGGCACCGAATTTTTATCTAAAAGATTTGCTTTGATGATGATACTCGAATTACAAACAGATTTTTTTTATTAGGTATATAATAAAATGATCTCGTTTTAAAACTATTAAATAGATTTGGGAGTTCGGGTCGGGCCGGCAAAACTTTTTTAAAATTTGGGCCTGGCCGGGCTTGAAAAATTAGGCCCGAATCACTACGTGGTACTCGAAATTCTGACGATGTATCGCTCGTAGCCGAAATCCTAGGATAATTTTTTTGATTTTCCTTTTGTGGTTTTTTCGTGTCGCAAAATACACCGAGAGATAACTAAGATGACCGTGATACCTTGGATGATAAATATAACTCAGATCATCAAGGTCATAAAAGTTGTGATAGAAATATAATGGAAATGGATGACAATCAAAAGAGAATTAATGTAAGGTATATACATACTACGCTGAGCGTTATCATCAAATATTATGATTTGTTTCCTTTTTGAATATTCATTTCCTATTCATTTTTATCATAAGAAATGATAACTGAAGATCTTACGCACACTTAGGCTTAGGTTAAGTGATATAGTTCCGGGATTATTAATTCCTTTCATTGGGATAATTTTGTTACAAATTTCATTCCGAAAAACACATTTATAGTATGCATCCTTATTGAGTGCTTAAGGTTTTTAATAAAATTATTCTAAAAGTCTTTCACCTAGTTCTCTAATTATATTTAATTATTTTACCTGCTTATTTTTCCCCTCATTCTATTTAATGGGAATATTAATAGGATCTTTCAGAATATCAAGAAAATTTAATTTAATATCTCAAGAGTTAATACTCCCACCGGAAAGAAGGTATAATATGTCTTGTTTATTAAATTAATAATTATTTAATTTTGCATACTTCAAATATATTTGTAATATTATAAAATATACGTATATAATTTACATCACCAATCCAATATACAGTTATATTTTAATAAGAAAATATACCATACAATATTTATTAGAGAAACCTCCCGCGATATATCAAATTTTAGTTTCGATGGATATATAGAGTCCGCCATTTTCTCTCTTGACCCAAACGATATCTTTGCCACCATCGTCGCCATTTATTTTTGGAATATGTCCTACATTTTGAGAATTATCTTCCATGATCGTAAAATTATGTTTATTCTCGTTTAGATCGGCGGTGATTAAATCGCGTTTGGCGCCAATATTATCGTTATTTATTTTCGATACGTGATTCAACTTCAACCCCGTATTAAAATTATCACGCAAATTGTTATTATGGACGTTTGTTACTTCCGGGATTGTGATTTGGCGCGGTTTACCTTCATCGACATTTCCATCAAAATTTTCTCGAGAGTGAATGTTGAAAACAGCGGTAACAGGAATCAATACTGTCGCATCCCTATCAATGAGGTCTTTGCCATCGTCCCCTTTAGTCATGAGCAGATGATTGGGTACGCTATTATTAAGTGAATTCTCTTTGTTCTTATATGCAATAGTATCAGAGGTAACAGAGTCTGGAATTTGGGTAGTTTTACCCCGAATTACTATATCGTTAATATTATTGTCAATATTTTCATTATCATGGTTATCAGCCCCGCCATCTTGAACTAGCAGATCAGGTTTAAAGGTCACGCTCTTTTTCGGATGTGTAGACGGTTTAGACATCGAGCTGGGATGCAGATCATGTTCATATGTAACCATCATGTTTTCATCCCTATTTTCCTCATCATCATAAGACGATGCGATCTTTGGAAAGGGCGAATAAATTTTATCAGAGTGGCTCAACTTGCGAGCGCAGTCGAACGGTATTCCTTTGTAGCTCCTTATACTACTAAAGCTACTATTTTCTCTATTATAAACACTCTTGTTGGCAAAAATGTTGCTTATCTTCTTCTTGGCTATTATGTTAGGGGAAATTCGCCTTGGCATTGTCGTGGATCGGTAACCCTTTCTTTGGAACAATGAATTTATGGCCTGGGAAAAGGATTTCGTTCCCCACTTATTATTCTTCTTCCTCAAATCGTGAAGATTCGATAACTTATGATCGTGTTCGTTATGATCTTGGGCATCGGTTTCCAAACTCTCCTCAGAAAGCACGGTTTCCTCGTTGTAATAAAAACTGGTGGGGTAATCCGCTGTCGGTCTATTATGGTCATCATTCACCGAGCCCTTTTTACTTCCGTCGAAAGACAGGCAAAGCAGGTGGGAACACGTGGAACATCTACAGGAGCACAGTTTCCTGAAAGCGCTTCTAAATTTAACCGAAAGAAGACTGTAAAGGAATGGGTTAGTTGCGTTGTTTATGAATACCATTAATCGGCAAAACAATTTATACCTAAATGGGAAGGGTTGGGGGGGGGGGGGTAAATTTATATAAAATTATAAGATGATAAATAAAGGAAAGAAAGTGTTAAATTTAAGAAATGAGTAATGTTATAACTTAATATTTTATCTATTTTAAAATGTTATAATTTGATGAATATTATATTTGTAATAGAATATTATAACTTTCCTACATTTGATATGATATTTTCGAGGTTAATCAAATTGCATATTATTAGAATTAAATTTGACAATTATACAAAAGCATATATATACAAAAGAATTACAAATAAAATTCGTTTTTTACCGATATAATAGGTAACATCTAAGTTTATTTACTTTTTAAATAAAAGGTGTGCTATAATAAATCTTAAAAGTTTAAAAATAAATAAAAAATTCGATATCTCCAAAACAATGAATTATCTAATATTCCTCTAGTAAAGTTCCAACCACAGAGAAATGGCATGCCGACATCTTATAACCGATTTTCAAGGATTTATGCAAAATCTTTCCTTCCCAACCCCAAGAATAGAATAATAAAATATATACTGACTCATAAATCCAAGAGAATAAAATGATTGGACAACTTAATGAGAAGGTTTATTACTTAGTGTTGTTATGGTTCGATTAGAGCCGATTTTTTTAATAACGGGTAAACATTTGAAACCTCCAATTGGCGCGCACTATTAAGGCTCTTATCGAATCGTAAAATAATTAAATTTAATTTAATCGCTATTTCGATATATCGGATAGAACCATTTTTAATCGGCGGATAACCGATATTCCTTAAAAATACGGAATGATCTAGCCGATCTCATATTTTCAAAATTAATCATATAAAGTTGGGGGGGGGGGTGATAGGAGTGGTTCCCTTCCTCGTCTAATATATACACAAGAGGTCCGTTTTGGAATATATTTATATATATATAATTTTCTTTTTCTATTTAGCAACCATAAGTTGGTTATCTTGGATTGAGCGGAAGCGTAAGAATTGTAGACGACTAGAATCCTGTAGGGCATCCACAGGAGCGCGAATAGGCACACCACTACGACCAACATCTTTATCACCTATAAATTTAAAATTATGAACAAAAATAATCTTCCAGATGATTTTTTTTAAAAACCAAATGATAAACAAGAAAGGAAGGTATATTAGGGGAGACCGTGGATATTTCGGGATATTTTTGATTTTAGAGTGCCATAAAAATGGTGAAATATCTATATGAGTGGGCCCCCCATGTCCAAAATGACCCCGGTTTGTATCACAAAGATTTGAAACCTCAAGTAACTAGTGAACCATTCTACTTTGTTGTGAATTTTCGAATGCCCACATAATAAATATATTTATTTTTTATAATGATTATTATAATCAGATGCCTACAGATTAGGTACCGGACACTCGTGTATAATAATCAGATGTTTAAAATGGAATGTGGGCTAAAACAACGCCAAGGTGAATTTTATTAAAAAAAATAATTTTACATTCATTTTGGTATTTCATTTATTCAATTTCCTTTGAAAATTATTAAGTCAAAAATATGTGGCCTAAATGTTTAAAATAAAATTTCCCAAAATCTGGGGCACAAAAAACTTAACGGGGTTGAGCTCAATAATTTCACCTCTGACATGATCTGATTACAATAGAATCATCGTTTTACAAACCGTTTCTAAGTGGTGACCACGATTATGCGACCCTTTATATTTTAGTAAATATGTATATCATAGACCTGCAGGTCAGGCCCTCAGACCGGTCCGGTCCGGGCCATGCAAATGATACCTCTACAGGTCTCAGATGTATATTATCTTTCTATTATCTCCCATTAAATTAATATATCTAAGGAATGAACCTCTTATAATTTCCAATTTAAAATAAAAACTCGATAATTATTTGCTAAATTTAATGTTAAAAAATCTATCATTTTTTATCCTTCCTATTTTAAAGCTCTGTCTGTATAGCTGTCCAAATAGAATGAGATTTTTTAGACAATAAAATAAATAAAAATACATTTCTAACCTTATTTTAAACAGTATATCATCATTTGCCTCATGTCAAAATTATATATATTATATAAATGACTGGGTGGTCTTAGCTGCTTTTCTAGACAGAATGTCCAATTCAGAATTATGAACAAATACTAAGGCATGATAGAAACAAAAATTCCTAAATCGAAGTGTTTAAAATTTAGAAAGAAGTATGGAACTAGTTTTATTTAGTGTTGTTAAACGGCTAACTCGACACTTTATCCTGAATAATATAAAGCAAGCCTGAAGATTTTCACTTATAGATAGCAGGAAGTTGTATCATCAATTAGCAAAATCTCAAGTCTTAGGCCACATTTTTCTGAAAATATTGAGTCAGCCGTTTTTAAAAATCGACTCAAAACGAGCCGTTTAACAACACTAGTTTTGTTTATGAACAGGGTCGGGTTGAACCAAACGCCCTTCCCCCTCTCCATGATCTATTTAGATGCTTAATCGTATCCTCATATTAACTAACTCCAGAGAGCTGTTTGGCTTATCTCAGTTAGTATAAATTGAACACTATAATAATAATAATATATAATATTTCTTCTAATTTTGACCTGCATTTTAATTCTTATGCTGGTGGAATGAGATTTTAGATGGTGCACAGGCTTTTCCTTATTCATTGTCTTATAACTGGAAATATTAGCCCCGCCGCGGTCTTTTTTAGGGCTATGAGTATTTCTAATATTAATCATTTTTTTCCATTTATCGGAACGAAAGGCGTTAAGAATATTTGGATTAGCTAGACCACGTTTGAATTTGTCAATTTTTCCTATGTGTACATATTCTTTGAGGGTCTTTTTCTTATTATGATTGACACGATTATCGGTGGATGGGTTCCTCCCTACACGAGGGATCTCAGATACAGCTGTATTACTCAAATTGAGAAAGCTCTGATCATCACCGCTGGAATGTGAAATCTTGCTTGGTTGGTGAGAAGGATGCCTGGCGTCTTTGTTGATGAGCATAAACAAACTTTTACGACACATGGGTTGGTGGTCTATATTATTGTATTCGACCTTGCAGCCAGACTTCCCGATACCAAGGGGTTCTTTTGTCTCGGAAGAAGTAAAAGTCATTCTGGAACTCTTGAATAGGATCCTTATAATAAGCCCGTAACACACAAACGAAATGAGGAGCGGTAGGACATAAAAGACAATCAAATCGGTCATGTAATAACCTAGGTAAGCCTCCCGCGATATAACATAATTGCAATGTTGCCATTGATACACTATCTCGAAATAGGTCTTGTTTACGCTAGGTATTATCGAGTTGCTCATAGTGGTCGCGTTTGAATCGCGATAAAATGCACCGGAATCTATATTGCCACTGACGTTGTTCGTGGTACTCAGATTGTGACGCTGAGTTTTTAGGTTAAACAAGCTATCTTCGTGTTTGACGAGAATGTACATGGGGAAAGTGGACGTGAGAAATAGCCAAGGACAGCTATATAAGAGGGAGAACACCCAAACTCCCACCACTATTTTTTGAGCCCTGTCGTAACTGCATAATATTTGGGCCTTGAGAGGGTAACTTATAGCTAAATATCGCTCAACTGTGAAGGCGGTGATAGAGAGGGCGGAAGCGTTTATCGAGAGATACTGTAAGAAAATGGCGCCGGAACATGTAAGCTTTCCACCAAGAACCCACCTATTGACAGCCATAAAATTGCTCACCAACTGCTCAGGCACGGCCGCCAGCAGAGACATACAATCAGCTACGGCTAGACTCACCAGGTAAACGTTTGTTGAAATTCTCATTCCAGGAGAAGTGGTGAGGACTGTTACCACCAGTACTACCATTATATTACCAGCTAACCCGATCATGAATATGGCGGACATGAAGAATGTTGCGACGAGTTTGAACGCATTCGAGTAATAATAGACAGTGTCGGTGAAGAGGGTGTGAGGGGAAGTCAGCATAGCGCTCGTTAAATTACCCACGAATCGGTTGTTATTTTTATCACCTAGGTCAACTTCGAGGTAATTATAGTCAGACACTGGGGTGGCGTAATAATTTTTCGGCTTTTTGCGGCGTATTTGCTCTTGAGCGGAAGAGAGTTTTCTTATAGCGCGTTTGAAAATCCGTCTCTTAGAGCTAGACGACGTTAATATGAGTGACATAAAAAGATCGTCATTGATAAACCCGGGAATGACGGGTTGTTTTAATTCGTTGAACTTTGAGGGTCGAGGGAGTGGCGTTATAACTGGAAGTTTAAGAAATACTTTTTCACTATTAATGGTGGTTCTTTGCGAAAATTTTAAGTGGACCCCGCGGTTGGCAACTTTGCCGTCAACGTTTAGTTTATATTTCGAGGATACCTCTTCGCGTTGACGGAAAGTAGGGTGAGATGTATTGAGGCATTTTACCGAATCCATAGACATTTTGACCGTCAACGAAAGGAACAAGGTTAAGGAGAGCACCAGAATGACGAGCAACAGGTAATGGGAATGTTTGAGGAATGGAGAGAAATCCTGCTGACTATTAATTATAATTGGCTTACCCATGAGAATAAATCCTTGAGCATTTCGATAACTTGCTTCTTCCAATTTTTCGAATTATGAAAGGATTTTAAAAATTCGATAATTTGTAACAAAAACCGATTATCCGAAAGAATTATCCTTCATTGCTTCAAATAGAGACGGATAAGGGGGTATTTTGAAAGATTAGATTTTGGTTCATTAGTCAAAATTTACAAAAATGATTCGTAAGCTCTAGGTTTTAGAAATGCTAAAATTGACTAGTGATTGAAGGTCCGATTGCTTTGCTAACAACCCTCCATTCAAAATTTTTCCAAGAATTTATTTTCTAAAAAAAAATGAAATTTTTGTTTAAGTTTATAATTTTATTAAGCAACTTTTAAATACATACGACAAAGTTTTTCACGTTTTCGCTTTTTATATTATATTTTTATCTAATAAATTTTAATATATTTTTCTTAATTTTTATATTTGATTTTTTTGCAAAAATGTGGTATTAAATTTTACAAATGATTTTTTTATTTCTTCCTCCTCTATTATATCATAGCTAATTGAGATAATAATGAATTGATAAAAGGAAGGTTTTTATTTTCGCTTTTCAGCTTTTCTAATTAAATGATAAATAAAAAATTAAAAATTTGTATTTCTATTTTTTCTTTTAATTATAAGAATGAGAATTTATATTTTTTTTAAGAGGGGAAATTATATAATATATTATATAAAAGAAAATTAAATATTTTTTATTGATTTAAATAAATCACACTTAAGTTAAAGTGTTGAAAATAGAATTAAATAAAAATAATTTAAAGGGAAGAGATAATTGGTTCTATTTTTTAATTATTAAAAATAATTCCTAACAATTTTTTTACTTTTTCCGCAACTCCTAGGGGAAGTGAAATTTAATTATATTTTTGCATAAAAAGGAAATTAAACATTATTTATTAATTCACGTAGAAGTGGGTTCAAAGGGTTTTTATGGGGAATTTTGAATCATTATATACTTTAGGATTTGTGTGAAAATGACAACGTTTCAATCTATGATCCCAATTCCACACTTCCATCGCAAATCACATGAAAATTAATATTCTAAGGGTTCTCTTTTATATAAAGATAGTTTTCTGTTGGTCATAAAAAAATATTTACTATAATTATCTTATTTTTATTTAAAAAAAATTATAAAAGTTCCTACAAAAATTATTTTTTCAGGTACAAAATCATTTATATTTGCCATTATCGGTTCCATCAACATAAATAAAAATAAATGCGTCAATGTGTTTTTCTTTCGGCAATGTGTTATTTTTAAAACTTTAAATCTTTGAGCGCCATTTTTTAAATCTATAAATCTGATTCTAACGAAAATACATTCCATCAGTTTGGAATACCTAACTTATGAATTGTAGACAATTTTGCGGTTATCCTTCGAGTCTTTGTTGTCTGAAAATCATAGAGTCGGTATTCTAACGGCATATTCCGGTAAAGTCAGATTTTTAAATTAAATTCGCGCTCAAAAAAATGTGTAATCTTATCATGTTTGGAATACCTATCTTAAGAATTGTAGACAATTTTGCGGTTATCCTTCGAGTCATTATTGTCTGAAAATCATAGAGTCGGTATTCTAAACATACGGCATATTCCGGTAAAGTCAGATTTTTAAATTAAATTCGCGCTCAAAAAAATGTGTAATCTTATCATGTTTGGAATACCTATCTTATGAATTGTAGACAATTTTGCTGTAAATCTTTGAGCCATTTATAATTTATAAAAAAAAAATATATGGAAAATTTAACATATTTATTATGAAGTTTAAAAGTTAAGGGAAAGAAATTGTCTGAAATTCGTTGAAGTAGGTACTCTAAACATGATGGCACACATTGCAGGTAAAATCCGAGATTTAAACGTTGAAAAAACGCGCTCAAAATATGATTTAAAAAATAACTCATTGACGCCTTGCATATGTATCAAGGTTTAATACTTTAGAAGAAAGAAAGTCACCTCCCGCTACAACCCCCTAGTCTTAATATCTCGACCCCCCCCCTATTGAAGGTGGTAAAAAGCGAGAGTGGGATGTTTGATAGTCTCTCCCCTGAAGAAAAATAGGTTTGTGCCTCTCCTCTTAGATAATTTTGGGATTTTATGCAAAACCCGTCATTTTGCTAAAAAATTATATTCAAATTTTAAACAATTGAACAGGGTCGTTGTATTTGTTTTAATTAAAAATGAGAGCCTTAAATTGGCCAGGGTTAGGCATAAATCATGGTTGGGATGTGGAACTCTACTGATATCCCTAATTTTTAACGAGTATAAATTAGGAGCAATAAAATCTTATTTTGACGGGGAAATTATATTTTCGTACATATGGAGTACTCACCCACAGGGATTACCGAACCCAAACCCGAACGGACCGGACATTCGTATCGGTTCGGGTCCGTATCCCCTATCCGAACTATAAATTTCGAATAATTTTTTGCCAGTGAAATTTAGAAACTACTTTTCATTTTATAGCGATTTTGATATAAAAATTATTGTTCGGTATAAATTATACATTTTTTTAAAAAAATGCATCTGGAAATCATTTCCGGTTAAATGTGGCATTTGGCAAAATGATTTAAAGAGCGAGAGATTACGAATCCCGCATAAATTTTATTTCCTTAATAGGACATCATTCTAAATAAAAAGGGGTAACCCAATATTTCAGCCTAGAATATTAGGCACCTGTTGGAGATTTATAATCCGTCCCCCGTACTAATGAAATTAATATGACGTACTTGCAATAGCGGCGCGGTAGCTTAACGTTATCCAATTATATAAATATTCCAAGAAAAGAAAAAAACCTAAGCAAAAAACATCTTAAGAGTTACGAAAAAATATTAATACTAATTTTTTTTAAAAAAGAAAAGCACAAGGTTGCATACTAGGTATCGATGATATATTCTGCATCGGGACTAATTTTTCGAGCCCGATCCGACCCGAATTTAAAAAGGTTAGCCGGCCCGGCCTCAAACCGAATTTTTAAAAACAGTTTTGCCGGCCCGGCCTGATATAGAAATTTGTTCAAAAAGTTTTCCGACCCGGCCAGAACCCGAATTCTTTTTAAAAAGTTTTGCCGGCCCGGCTCGAACCCGAACCCGACATTTTTTAAAGAAAGTTTAGTCGACCCGGCCCGAATTTATTTAAATTTAGAAATAACTTCTTTTTTTAAAATTATAATTGCAATTTTTATTTAAAATTATCATACCCAAAATAAAAGATATATGTCATTATAGCGCCAAGTTTCTACAAATAAAATATAATGTTTTTATTATACATAAAAATATTAGACCCGACCCAGCTCGAACCTATGTTTTAAAAAACCCTTTCCGCTTTTGCAGATCTCTAATGTATAACATTAGCTAGAAACAGAAAGGGATAATAATTCATCATAAAATGTATATGTGTTACTAATATTCAGATACGTATCAAGAAAATTAGATGAAAACTTGTATCGGACTAAAAAATTTAAGTGGAAAAAGATACAATGGATTTTAAACGAATTATCACTTTAGCATCTGTTGGGGTGACCAAATATAAGTAATTTTTAGGGTCTTGAGAATACAAATCGGAGACCTACAAGGCTACAATTCATTTATAAATAAGCCCAAGCGAGGGGGGCTAAAAAAAATTTTATATGTCGACTCGGGCTTATAAACCTGGACCGGACCGGAGATAATAAAACCCAAACCTGGCCAAATCTTTAAAAATTCGAGTATCATTATTATTATTTTTGTGTCAAAGGAAAGTTGCTAGAGAGGAAAGGAAGTAGGAAGATGCCAGCAAAATAGGTTAATGAAAGCACCCTAAATAAATTATTTATTAATTTAGGAGACTGATTATATAATTTTTATTTAAAAAATTTACGTACCAAAATCAATTCGTTTTAGATTGATTTACGCCTTTAGAAAGGAAGAAGAAAGAAAGAAAGAAAGAAAGAAAGAAAGAAAGAAAGAAAGAAAGAAAGAAAGAAAGAAAGAAAGAAAGAAAGAAAGAAAGAAAGAAAGAAAGAAAGAAAGAAAGAAAGAAAGAAAGAAAGAAAGAAAGAAAGAAAGAAAGAAAGAAAGAAAGAAAGAAAGAAAGAAAGAAAGAAGAAACGAAATCCAAGAGAATTGTTCCTTTACAGGAACCCATTTTTTTCTTAAAATTATGGTTGGTAAATGTTTTTATTTCTCTTTTTTCTTTATATAGCTTCATGTATGCTCCTATAGTTTTATATACAACCTTTATAAATTTCCTACATAGAAAAGAAATAAAAATAAGATATATAAAACAAAAATTTAATAAATTTACTTTTAAAAAATTATTATTAGACAATTAAATGATTTGGTAAATCTCGTATATTTGTTAAAACCCAAACCCGATTTTTTTAACCACGGGCCGGATTTATATTTTAAATCCGGCTTATTAAAATATTATTTTATAAAACCGGGCAGGTAAATTTTTCAAATATTTTCACGAATCAGAGCCGGGTTGTGCAACTCACATTTAATCTAAATGTCGATGATACATATTATGAAATTATATTATTAGAATATCCTTATTGACTATCGGTTAATTTAATTAGAAATAATTTGATCGAAAAAATTCGAAAAATGTTGTTTTTCATAATTCACTATTCCGTAGAGTGTTGTTTTAATTGTTCGGTTCGAACCGATTTTGAAAAACGGTTATTTCAATTATTCCAGCCACAAAAAAAATAGCCCCGAAGCCTTGAAATTTTGCTAACAGATGTTCCGAAACTTTGTGCCATCTACGAGCTGAATCTTCAGGTTTGCGTTATAACCCTAACCTAACCCTAGCATTAACCTAACCCTACCCTAACATCTAACTCTATGTTCCGAAACTTGATGCCATCTACGAGCAGAATCTTCAGGTTTGCGGTATAACCCTAACCCTCTAGATTTTGCTAACAGATGTTCCAAAACCTTATGCTATCAACGAGAAAAATCTTCAGGTTTGCGGTATAACCCTAACCTAACCCTAGCATTAACCTAACCCTAACCTAACATCTAACTCTATGTTCTGAAACTTTGTGCCATGTACGAGCAGAATCTTCAGGTTTGCGGTGTAACCCTAACCCTCGAGATTTTGCTAACAGATGTTCCAAAACCTTATGCTATCTACGAGAAAAATCTTCAGGTTTGCGGCATAACCCTAACCTTACCCTAGCCCTAACTTAACCCTAGGATAAAATATTGAGTTACCGGTTTTTAAAATCGACTCAAATCTAGCCGTCTAACAAACACTATCAGTTTAATAGACTAATAAAAACATAAATAGCATAATATC